CGCGGCTGATTCCCGGCGTCGAGTGCTGTCCCAGCGCCGTCGTCGAGTACCTGGACGCGCTCCGTTCTAAGAGGAGGGCCTCGGACGCGATTCTGCTGCGCGTCCGCCAACACCTGCTGTACTCCGGCTGGAAGATCGATTTCGTGCTCGTTGGTGAGGCCATAAGGCTGCGCTATTCCTCCCCCGACGGCGGATCTTTCTATTCCCTTCCCAACGTCTGTGCCAACCTGTCCCAAGGCTGCCGGCCGGTCTCTAAACGGCTATCTGCGAAACCGATTTCAACCCTCCTCTCGGAAGAGTCTGGAGTTTCTTGCGGTACAATGACCGAGTTTCTCAACCCAGTCAACGAGGTCATTATCCAGCCGGAATATTGCCCGGAGGCCGTCAGGGATTACTGCAATCAAGCAGGCAAAAGGCGGGGGAAGCCTGGAGCCATGAAGGCGAAGCAGCACTTATCTGCAATCGGGTGGTCTTTCTATTACACTCCCAAAAGAGGGTTCACGAGGGAATTACGGTACAGCTCACCCAACGGTCGAGTGTTCAATTCTCTCCTCACGGCCTGTAAATGGAGCTTGGGGGCTAATGCCCTAACATTTAGGGACGTAATAGGCAAAATAGGGAAGGCCAGGAAGAATCCGTCAAGCGTCTCGTCTGAAACTGGTAATGTGAGGAATAGAATTAGAGGACAGCAATTTTGCAAGAAAGGAAAGAAGAGAAAATCGTACTCGAAAAGTAAAAGGGTTCGGGATGTCATGGTCCGGTCTTCCTCTCATCAGAATCCTCGGACTGTGTTGTCTTGGTTGATCGATAGTGATGTGGTTTTGCCGAGGGCCCGAGTCGAGTATCGTGGCAAGAATGGTTTGCCAATGGCGGAGGGGCGAATTGGCCGTGATGGGATCAAATGCAGCTGTTGTGGATTAGTATTTACTCTCAGTAAGTTTGAGTCACATGCCGGAAGCTCAAACTGCAGGCCTTTGGCGAATATATTCTTGGAAGATGGGCGGTCGTTGATGGTGTGCCAGCTGGAACTGAAACATAGTATGGAAATGAGGAGAACGAATGGCGTATCGACAAGTGGCGAGACGAATGACGATGTGTGCTTTATCTGCCACTATGGAGGCAGATTAGTACTGTGCGACAAGTGTCCGTTATCTTTTCATACCGAGTGCCTCGGTCTAAAGGTGTTGTGTTTGATGTGTT